GATTTGTGAATGTCTGCAGATGTTAGGTCAATAGTAGTGAAATTTCTTATTTATAACAATCCTGGAAGTATGAGACACATTGCTAAGGCTTCAGGCACTTACAAATTTGTATGTATTAGAGTGGTGCTGTGTCTGATCTTCTTTTGGAAAGTACAAATTGTACAAATAGTGGTGTTTGGAAAATGAGGGCAGAGAACCTGAATTCTATTTCTGGCTGTGCCATGGAGAATTGAAACCTAATTTCTCTGTGTGGGTTTTCTCCTTAGCTTGTAGATGCTAAATATTTATAGTGTTTTTTTACCTGTTTGAATTGTCAATTCAACATTCAGCAGAAGATTGCTTTTCTAAATGTTTACAGAAGGATTTAGCAATGAAAGGATAATATAAAAAAATGTACAAAAATGAAGTGCCTATATTTGTACAAATAAAGTTACTAAGACCAAGCTATTTTTATACTTTTTTTTCTAACTCTGTAGTGAATGAGGCAGTTTGAATTGCTAACTTGAAAACATATGAATTATAGTGATTTATAGCTTCTTAATTCCTTTTTGTTCTGTAAATTTCAGAGGTGTTAGGAGAAGGGATGGCTGAGCAGGCAGTGTTTGCAGGGGTCACTTGTGGTGAACACCGTGCTTACGTTCATCTGTTTTCCTTCCCCTCATCATACTACCACTTAGATCAGCACTGTTTAAAAAAGTAACAGATTTGATACAATTTCTGTTTTCTGTGCTTTCTAGAAATTGCAGCAGAGAACCTAAGAAAAGCTGGAGCAATTCCTGACCTTCTGATGAGTATAAGAAAATTTCTTCATAATGAACAGATTTGCCTCTCTTGCTGTGGAGCCCTCTGGAGCTTGGTTGTGAGCGGTGAGCAGAACAGAGCAAGTATTATCCCCTAGATTCATGTGACTGAAGGCAGCAGGTATTGTGGTGCCTAGCTGGATCCAGACACTGGTTTACTGGGACTAGAATTTTGTTCTTATTTCTCCTGTTCTAGAGAGATGTCTCTGCAGCATTATTAGAACAAAATTAAGTCATCCAGAACCAAATGAAAGAAAAATAGAAGTAATGCAAACTTTTCAAGTACCTCTTGTTGTGATAAGGGGTCAAACTAAAATCTTTACTGTTTAAGCTAAGATATGGCTTATGAACAAACTGTCAGAAATGAAAAGGAACACACAGCTGCTGCTTTGTCAGTTATGCGTTTTTGCTCTGTTATCAGCAGAGGCAATGCTTTAAAACAGCATATTAGATTGGATACCACAATAGTATTTAAAGTAAATGCCATCTTATTTCTTTGTGTCATGCTTCTCTTGGTAGTGCTGAGCTAAGTCCTGAGCTGGACATCCCACAGGAACTTGCTTTTTCAATAGGAATGTTTGATAAGGTGGCAGGTATTCTCTTCCTATTGCCTTAGGCCTAAACCACTGTCATCCTACAGTGTTGGAGAGCTGTGAGTTAACTGCTTGAGGTGACCTTGTTTTGAGAGACCACAGGAGAGTATCTTGAGGTGTATTGTTTCTGTGACATGTTCTCGTATAGTTGTGCAGTGTCCTAACCAGCAGGGAAGGCAGAGAACACAGGATATGCACAATTGCACTTGGTCTGTTTTATTCCCCCTGCACACTGAACTACTCTTTTGATTTGTGTGTCCAGCTATAGCCATCCTTGTTCTGTCCAAAATGTGCTTATTTTTGAGGTTGCATGATGTGATCCCCGTGTATAATTTAAGTGGTAGAGAAAACTAGTTACTGGAGTTCAGCTTTCTTCAATAAGTGCTGTTCTGCAGTTCTGTAACATTTGCTTCCTTTTAGAATATTTTAAGATTCCTTTCCTCAGCTGTTTTCCCATACTGATAATGTTGCATTACTCCAGTGCCTTCAACAGTTAAGGTTTTACTGATGTAGTTTGATACACAATGTGCTTATGATAGTATTACTTGAGTAAATAATTCTACTTGATACGTTTCCTTTTTATTAAAGGTAATTTAGAGAACAACATGGACAAAGCATTGCTGCAAAGTGCCATCAGTGCTTCCTCTGCTGTCCTCCAAGAGCACCTCCAGAACGCAGCAGTCGCCGAGGCATCCAGCTCTGCTCTCTGGGCACTGTCACTCCACGGTGTGTTTTCCAGGGCTGCTTGTCCCTAAACTTGTCTGCTGTGGGTGACTCCTGAAATAGAGGCTGCTCGACCAGAGCAGGCTCTGCAGATGGCAGCAGAGTTAGGAATTTAACCTCCTTGCTCAGCCGGCCTTCTCCCCATTTGCACTTGGATGCCCTCAAATGTCATTTTTTTTTTGATGAGCTGTTGCAATTATAACTAGATACTGCAGTGGATACTGTAGTGATGGGCACCTATAGCAACGTATATAGCACGGAACGCTATATCCTGCTTATCTCCCAAGCCCAAGAATGCCAGCTGTGTTACTCTCTGATATGTTACTCCTTTGAAAACAGCACTAGTGTCATGCAGAAAGAAATGCAAGGTTTGTTTTTTCAACCTTTGTTGATTTTGTGCTTTGGGAACAACATTTCAGTTTAAAAAATTGAACCCTCTTTCATTATCATGTGCTCTTATAAGTGCATTCCTGTAGTGTTAGTCTGTCCCTTATGCATGCAAAAATATTGCCATACCTACAGCTGCATCAAAACCTTTGCTTATGCCATCGTTGTGGTAAGAAGGGCTGTGTAAAACAGCCTAAGCAATGTTCTTTCTTGTCTCATTTCTAGTACCCAGTAGCAGAATGTGTTGAGTGTTCAGGACTTGGAGAATAAAACAAAATCTTGACATTAAAAATACCTCAGAAATTTCTCTTAGACCTCTGGATCAGCTCATGATAAGACTTTATGGGGCTTATATTACTGTAATACAGGTTTTCACATTTTCTTTGTAATTTTTTTTGCATAATCAAAAAGTCCTTTCGGAAACAGGAGGCAGAAGGTGAAAATGCTCATGAGAATTTTAAAGGCTTTATTTCTTTTAAAAAGGTCGTTTTACTGAAAATGAATATGAATCTACAACAGCACTTCTGCTAGATGCTCTCAGGATGAACCTAGGAAGACCAGTGCTGGTGAAGAATGCCTGCCAAGCATTAGCACATCTTCTCAGGCTGTCTGGTAACACTCAGCAATCCATCTTTATTAATTGTAAATCACCTCACATGTGGACATTTCTGAGTAATTCAAGAGTTTATAGTGGTTATGGGACTGGAAGAAGTAGTGAAATTGAAGTGTAAACTTTTTTTCTTCCTATGGACAGAACATGAATGTCCAAGAACTAATAGATCAGCATAATCTGAGAGCTTTTTTCACTTCTTCTTTTATGGTGAAGCTGCTTCTACTATGTAAAAGGGTAGAGCTAAAGAGAATAAATACCAAAATATCACTTCTGTCGTGCATGACAGCATCAGCTGTCTATACTGTCATCTGCTTGCTGCCCAAATATGTTTCAGACAGCTTTAGGAAGGTGGGCACTTTTTCCTGGAAAAATATTACAGGTGTGGGGTACAGGTAGGGCAGAGAACTGGAAAGCAGATAATACAGTCCCCAGCTACCAGTTACCCAGCAGTGTTTGTTTCTCTTTATTTTAGAAATCGCAGCTTTCAGATTTGTAACAGATTCAAAAGGCAGTGGAATAAAACTGGTCAAAGATGCCTACTACTTTCACAGTGATGATCCAGACGTGGTGGAAAGTATCTGTGCACTGATTACTGAGATGGTTCAGTATGGTAAGATGGTGTCTGTGCAGTTTCTTCCTCTCCCCTGCCCCCAGAAGTAGCAAGGAAAATTGTAACAGCAGCTGAAGGATGAACTGAACTGTAAGATCATTCCATTTTGTTGTTCTTGAATAACTAGAAGCATCTCTGCAATGCAGCAGTTAGAACTTCACCTTATCTTGCCTTCTGTTCTGATAGACCTGTCCCCTCTCTGCCCTCCTCTAGGACCTGGGAAGAAAGAAGTTATTCTAGACCACAGCTGTATTCCAGTTAAGGTAAATTGTGCTGTTTGTTTACGTCACAGATGACATTGCGCTGGATATGGTTTCCCAGAAGATGAGAGAAATGCTGTCTGAAATAAAAAGCCGGTTTCCATCTAGCACGGTACGTGGAAGACACTGTCACAGTAAAGGGCATGGACTTAGCATCAAATTTCTGGTTATGGATTTTATAATCTCTAAATAACAGAAATCACATATGACAGAAATTTAGAGGAGAATTATGGGTGTACATGGGTGAAGAGCATTTTCATAAGAATATTTATAATTATACTAAAGAAAGTAGTGGGAAGGTTTTTTCTTCTATACGCTCTGCGCTGTAGGATTTGTGATGATCTGCTCTTTTACAACATTGGCTTGCATTATTTTACTATGTTCTTCACACTAAAACAGTCTCGAGTTTGCAGAAATAGTCATAAATATACAATAAAGCAAAAAAATCTTCTGAAACTGACATCCTTAGAAGGGGTGACATTGCTTTGGAATTTGCACAATCAGACCCAGAATCCATTTAAAACACCACTAGTTGTAGAGGCCTCTGTTAAACACACAGTTTTTATTAATAAAATAATATAAAAATAAGTGAAGCAACGACAATTTCTTAATTGACAAATTTCACATTTTTCTCTAGGAGATAATGACCCTTGTGGATGCAACACTTTTGAAACTGCAGAAGTGACAAAAAAAGAACAAGACCTATGGGCTTCTGGCTCAAGTAGAAACGCTCAGATCCTTCTAAAATATTTTAAGAGATTTTTCTCACTCAAAAGTGAGATTGATATTGTGCCTCAGTGAAATATGTACACGTATTTTGTTGATTTAGTTACTACAACTGTAAGACCAACACCACTAACCTCTCAGAAATAAAGATTGTAGCCTTAGAAGTTTCAGCAAAGCAGTAATAGTTTCTTCCTTCATGTATCACAATTAAGAAAAACTTTTTCTTACTATTTAGTGTGTATTTGTTTTGCAGGAATGGATCAAATGAAGTACTTCAAGAATTCAGGTATTAATTACATGGATTGTTGAAACCGTAACAGGCAGTAGTAGTGCAGTAGCCAGAAATGGGCTCCAGAACTGGGGTTACTTCTGCAGTAATCTTGTACAAAAGTGTTCACATACCACGTCAGCAAGTGTTGTGTGCTCAGCTTTATTATGAAGCAGCTGATGTCAGTTCCAAGTTCCCTCTAAATTTGTAGGGGAACTTGACAGGAACATAGCAAATGCTGCACATAAAAACCACAGTGCAGAATTATTCAAATGTTGGAGTTTATTTTTTTTTCTTTACTTTAGATTTGTCCTTAAGAGCAGCTTCCCACCGCCTTTTTTCTAAGGTGTACAGTCTCATAGCTGCTTGTGCATCCTGAATCTAAAAGAGAACAGAACAAACAGATGGTTTAACAAAACACAGCTGACACGGTTTAAGAATATTATTGTTAAGAGGTAGCTAAATCTTCCATGATTTCCAAACCTTCCATCTTCCATAATACCTATTTACAATTAGTATTTTATAAATTCTTCCTGTAGTATTTTATCCAACCTGCCATAGTACAATGATAAAAAAGCTGCTTTTAAGGTATCAGTTTGATACTGGATTTTTTTTCCCCATGGGGCTCTTAAAGTAGCAAGAATAAATAATTAAAATATGCTTTATGAAATCTATGAAAATGAGGAAGTAGTCCAAGTGGCATGAGGCACATAACAGTAAGTTTATATGAGAATTTTATCCCATGCTGGTAATCCAAGCACAGTTTGCTAATCTTCACTGAGACAAGAATGAAGCCACGGGCTTCTGGACTGAACCCAGCGCTGGAAGGAACGTGTGGTATCCTGCTGTTTGCCCAGAAACGTTCCGATGGGATACGTACCGAGCAGTGCTCCGCCGCCTGCACGCGAACGTCCAGCAGCCTTTCACAGAGCAGCTTCAGTGACGGTCGCACATTCTAGAAGAAAAAGACTGGATCGCTCTGTCTCCCATGGTTTGGGCTCTCTACTGAACGATATACTTCAACACAGAATCACAGGATGGTCAAGTTTGGAAGGGACCTCTAGAGATCACCTAGTCCAACCCCCTGCTCAAGCAGGGACACCTAGAGCATGTAAACTGAAGTATAGCACATCTCAGCTTCTATTGGTGAACTGGCAAAAAGTATTAATGAATTCCTCCATATAGAATTTATTCATAATGGATTTATTCATAATGAATTAATGCATATTTTTGCACACAATCCTGAGAATTTTTTTATGTAGCCCTAACATTTTTTGTTTGCGGTGCCTGATGAAACATATGAGGAGCATATGAGGAGCAAGCTGGAAGTTGGGAGTCAGCAGCTCAAAACCCAGTTCCTCAGTGTGTCCTTTCCTGTCAACTTCTTACCTTGACTCTCTGTCTGAAAGGCTTGTATTTTTGTGTGTCACGAATTTTCTTCTTAGGATGATCAAGAAATAGGACCTGAAAAAAAATATATCCAGTCTAAAGATTGTTGTTGCAGGAAAACTTATACAATTGACTGTACAACTTTCAGCTCTTTTCTTCCGTCCATTATAAAAGACTGTCCCAAACCATGAATAAACAAGCCTAAGATCAACAAGACTGGCAGGATTCAAGAGCCACAGTGCTATTTAATATGAGAAACATCGTTCAGTCTGGAGGCATCACCTATAGAGACCACTGGCAGTGGTGGCAGAACATGATGCAACTAGACACTGCATCCAGGAAAGACATCCAGACTGCTGTTTCAGTGGCAAGCAAAGCGTGCAAACAGTTTTTGTATCATGCTGTTTATTTCCTGGCTATTTAGTAGTCCATGTTCTATTTGAAACAACGTTCTGAAGCTGAAGAACTTCAGTGGTGAGTGAATAGGGCTATACTTGATACAGCTTGAAATGACAAGAAACCGAGCTAACAGTGCTAAAGCTGTAGTTTCTTGGCATTGAGGTATGTTCATCTGATGACTGGGAGATAAATTAGAAATGTAATCAAGCACCGAAGTCTTGACTTCAAAATAACAATTCTGCAGCCACATACCTTTAAGTCGTTGTGTAAAGCGTGCCCGACCAAAATCCTTCCATTTAAGATGTCAGCAACCTCCTTCTGAACAACTTTAAAATCCTCTCCTAAAAATAACACACAATGAAACACTTTCTATTAGACATTAAGGCAACTCAGCAAGCTGCAATTAAAACATTGCATCTTTTGTTTGTGAGGGCAGCTCTATCCCTTGAACCCTACTTACTTGAATGTGTACAGGACAATTATGAATGTCTACAGCACTGTAAATACTCTGCTTGTTATAAAAGCATAGAGAATTCCACAAGGAGCACAGCACTCAAAGGAAATGAACTTCTATATTATTTCTATACCATGCTTAAAGAAATAGAGCATTTTCATGGGGCGTTAGTGACCACTCTAAAAGGACATCTGCCCAAGTTTCCTCCCCAGCATTCACTTGGTACTTTCATGTACATTTTCCAGAATAAAACTAAAACTTTCCCAAGCTCAAACAAGGAGACTTATGCAATAGCCTGTTTGTCCTCCCTAAAGAACATTTTTGAAAGAAAGTTCTTACCTGTCTTTATATTCTCAGGGCGAATGCCACTAACAGCTGTTCTGTAATCAGTCACCTCTTCCGTAGGCTTGACATACTTGTCATAAATGCACTTTCCAAACTGGTTCACAATGGACACACGAGCCACGATGCTGTCTTCGCCCTTGGGCCCCACTCCCACCATTTCACAGTCCATGGCCACAGCTCTGGTCAACCTAAAAGAAAACAGGACACGTTTGCTGCAGGGCCTGTGCACAGCCCACAAGATTCACACATCAGCGCGAGCAGGACGGACAGAGCCACTCACCCTTCAGAAGCCTTTTCTTTAACCAGCACCTGCTCCACAGACTCTTTGGATTGGCCTGTTTCAAGTCCCAGTTTTCTTCTGGCAACTTTTGCTGCTTCGGGTCCTATTGCTGCTTCAATATCTTTGGGATCAACATCATCAAACCAAATGTCATCCCTGATAAGTACAAAATTTAATTACACTTAATAGCTTTAAAAAAGACCCTCCATCTTTATAGTGCAGAAAAAGCTTGGTTTTTATTTTAATCAAGAAGTTAGCTCTGTGAAACCAGTCCAATATTGATATCCATGCAGTTCTGTTGCTATAGCTGAGTAATCGGGGTTCTATACATCTTGCTTCCTCCAAAATTTAATCTGGAAGCATGCACCTATTTCAAATGCCCCTTGGAGACCCCTTCTAAAATCCATATTCACACACACGCACGAAGCTTTAAGTACTCACTCCTCTGGCTGTGGCTCCACATGTTCCTCAGCTTTCCTCCTTTTATGTTTTATATCACCCTGTTCCTTTTCAATATTGCCGTTCTTCTTCTTCTTCTTCTTTTTCTCTTTACAGCCTTTCCCACCCTTCCCGGTGCCACTCAAAGCCTTATCCCCCGCAGTCCTCCGGGATGGGGCATCCAAAGGAGGATCGCTTTTAGCAGAGCTGCTGTTGGTCTTACTCGCAGATTTGGGTTTTACCGTGTCCCCCTTCCCCTTGGGGGTTGCATTTCCTTGGGCACCTCCTTCCTTGGGCACTTGCTTCTTGCTGGGCTCTTTCGGACGTGCGGCGTTGGGCTCATTCGCGCCGTTTGCCTTTTGCTTCAGCAGCTAAAAGGACCCAAAATAGCAACGCACAGGTTCCCGGGGTAAGGACGATCCCAAATCATGCAAAGCAACACTGTATGGGTTAATGGTGTAAAGGATCCCTTGATCCCAGCATCATCCCTCCTTCCCATCCCACTTCCCCGTGACGGGGGACTGCCCCAGGCTCCAGCCCCAGCGCCTTATTTCTTTCGTTGCCACAAAATTCCCTTAAATCGCCACGGGAATTGGACCTGCAGGGGAGCATCCCCCACCCCACGCGGGGCCGCGGCTCGGCGTTTGGGGCACTTCGCTCCAAAGGAGCCGCATTTGGGAGCAAACCCGAGC